TATCAACAGGTGGTATATAGAAGAAAACAGGGTACTCTCTCGTCAAAATTTTTTAAAAAGGTGGGGATATTATTCGCAAGTGTTTCTAAAAGGTAGGGACGTCACTCACCAATACTTTTTATAGGTAGGGATGTCTTAAAAAAAATTATAACTACGTAGAGATTATTAGCGCAAGGTTCATTAGATTTCCAGAAAAAGTGAATAGGACCTGTCATCTTCACCAATAAGCCAAAATGAGCCAATACCATTGAAATGATAAATACTTCACAACACCCATTTCCACTTGATCTTCGCCATTTACCCCGTGGTCACAATAAGTATAAACTAGAAATGAACATCTAGTAGTTGTCTCTATAAATCGACCACCCATTCAATATATGTCTTGCTACATTTTTCTAAAAACCCAACATTAGAGCAGCGATGGTGGACCTAGTGGTCGGATTTCACCATATGTTCTTCACGACATTTTTTCCTTCATTTAATGTAATAATTTAAAGTATTTTCACACTCATTTTCCAGCTACTGTTACTATGTGGACTATGTAGAAGGCGGGAAGAAGGGTTCAGTTGGGTGAGGACGATTTTACCCCTGTTGACCGGCAAGAAATTGGGTCTCTCTCTTTAATTAACAAGAGATAGACGGAAAGACCTTCGTCGCAATGAAAGGTTGATTTAAGGGCAGAAATGCCAAAAAATAAAAGGTGAGGACGTTTTCCACAATAAAGTTGAAAGATAGAGACGTTTTGCGCCAATTACCCCTACCAAAATATCAAACATTTTCTAATAAAAAAGCTTTATTGTTCCATAATTTATTATAAATACCTTTTTTTCGCTTCCGACAATGCTAAAAAATTTATTCATCCTTTTTCACATGTTAGTCTTGATCTTTATTTTTCGATTATAAAAACTCGACTTAATTATTTTGATTAATTATTCACAAAGACAATTTTTTACATCATTCATTGATTATAAAGTTTTATATGATTTGTTATTAACTTATACATAAAACGCCTCCATAAAAACAAAATTTCGATTTCTATCAATAAGGGGGACCTAGCAACTTTCATTTTCATTCATAGAACAAGATTCTTGTTTTGAACGTTCTTAGCCCTAAATATATGTTATATTGTTTATTAAGTCCCTATTTGTTTACCATTAAATTAGGAAAATGAGTTTTAGAATAATGAATTTTTTAAGAATGTGTAATTAAAAAGTAAAAAAAAAGTTTTGAATTTGCGTGCAAAATATTTTATTGTGAAAATGTGTGATCGAAAATAAATTCGAGAAAAAAGAGTTTTTAAATAAGTAGGCAAATAGGGGGCTAAAATAGTTTATTTGACTATTTACCCTTGGTCATGTACTCGATTTGACGGTAGCCAAATCGGGTCTTAATAAACAATATAACATATGTTTAGAACCTATGAACTTTGAAAACAAGAATTTTGTTCTATGAGTGAAAAAGAAAATTACTAGGTGTAAATTGATTTGATTACTTGACTCCTCCACTCACATCGATTGATAGAAATATAAAATGAGTTTAAAATATTGAATTTTTTAAGAATGTGTAATTAAAAAGTTTGAAATAGTTTTGGATTAAACGCAAAATATTTTATTGTGAAAATGTATGGTTGAAACGAGATTTAGAGAGAGAGAGAGAGATTTATTTTAAATAATGATCGACAAACGTGGCTAAAATAGTTTATTCGACCATTTACCTTTGGTCAGGTACTCGAGTTGATGGGCTATACTCTTTTTATGTTCCTATTCTCTTTCTTAACTGCCTTTCGACGAATCAATTTCTTAGATCCTATTTTGCTATCAAATATTTCAAGTGGAAATTACACAAAAATAATACATTAACTATTCAAAATTCCTAAATCAGATTGAAAGTTTGATATTTCAAAAATCAGATTTTTTATTAATTATTTAAATAAACTAATTACAAAAAAAATAAAAACCCTACCCAACCGTCACTACCCACTACCATCTCTTCCCTCTCCCTTGCTCGTATCTCTCTCTATCCCTCTCTCTCTTCTCCAGCGACGATTTAGGCTTCTCCACTCTCCTCTCACTTTCTTCTACCCTTGTTTCACATAGCAGTGGCGGAACTCTAGTGTGAAGGACACGACGACAGCATGCTCTCGAGAAATTAGGCAGTGCTAGTAGCACGAAGTGACGAGACGATCTGTTTAGTAGCACGAAACGATGACAACAATCTCCATTGGAAGCACGAAACGATGACGAAGTGATGTGTTTTGGGGCTGAATCATTGGTTACAAAGGCGGCAGTGATTCGGTGGTTGTGGCTTTGGCGATTTTTTTGAGTGAGGATTGTGTTTTTGTTATAGTAGAGATTAAAGGCTTGTTGTGGTGGTGGCGAGGCTGAATCGCTAGTGGTGCAGGTGGCGGCAATGAGAAGGTGATGGTGGTAGTGGTGAGAAGCAGTGTTTGCAGTGATGGTGAAGTGATGCTTTTTCGTTCTTCCACTGCGTGAGATCTATGTCTCTTTGTTAGCATGTGATGTGTTTTGGGGTTGAGTCATTGGTTACAAAGGCGATGGTGGTGTCGACAGTAGTGGCTTTGGGGATTTTTTTTGGGTGAGGATCGTGGTATTAGTGTGGTAGAGATTAAAGGCTTGTTGTGGTGGTGGCAGGGCTGAATCGCTTGTGGTGCAGGTAGTGGTGGCGACGGCGGTGCTTTGGAGTGGTGAGATGGGATGGGGGTATATGTGACCATTTTATTGGTTGACTAAAAGTTGTGACTAATAAATTGGTTAATTTGTGATCAAAGTAGTGGTAGCTTGGCGGTGATGGTGGTGGTGCTGCTGTTGAAGGCAGCGTTGAAGTGGTGGCTGTAAGTGTTGGTGATGATCACAAATTATTTGTTTGATTATGACTAGTGAATTGGTTAATCTATGATCAATAAATAATATGTGACCAATAAAAAAGATAAATTATAACCAAGAAATAATTTGTGACCTAAAAAATTAATAATTTTTGACCGTCTAATAAGTTTGAGCTATAATATTTGTGATCTGTGACCTATAAATTTTTTTATTTGTGATCAAAAAATAATGTAACTTATAAAAATTTTGATTTGTGACCGAAAAATAAGTTGTAAGTAAAAATTAATCCATGACTAATTAATTTTTTTTATTTGTGACTGATGAACAAACTGTGACATAGAAATTTGAATTCTGTGATCGTAAAATAATTTGTGAATTAAAATTTCTGACTTGTGACAAAAAAAATAATAATAAGTGAATAACTAAATTGTTAATTTGTGTCCAAATTGTATACATATGTGACCTAAATATATTTAATTTAATAAATTAATTAATTAATTAAATCATAAATAAATTTTAATAAAAATCTGATTTTTAAAGTTTGAAACTTGTTTTCTTAATTTTGAAATATATAATATTTAATCTCTTACTTATCAAATTTTCCCATATTTCAATTACTATTACAGACACATTTTCTGCCAAAATTCGTAACCAAACAGAAAGTTTTCACTATAAAAAAGTTTAGATTATATAAAATTGATTAAAGTATATTTCCCCTTCCATACCAATGTTATAGAACTAGAACAAACTAACTGATTCAACCAAAAGATAAATACGGGACCATAATTGGTCCGTCCCTTTACATAAACTTATTTTTTACTACTGCTTTCCAATATTTTTTACCAGTAATTTGATTCTAGTAAGACCCTTTCCTTTTTAATCTTTCCCTTGCTCTTGGATTCATTGTGCGGAAAGATACAAGTCGATCCTACTCCCAAAACAGACGTTTTAGTTGTTCGTGAGGTTTGCCTAAAAAAATTCTTCAATACAGATCACTGTGCGCGACACAATGGGGACAATACAGCTACCGTAACGGACCAAAACAGTACGAGCCTTAGAAAAAAAAAATCCCAAAATTTGCTTTAGGAAAGTCGGATCAATTGCATGAGATTCTAAATGGTGGTCCTCAATCAATCAATGAGTGACACAGCATTCATCAAGGACTTGTTCGAGAGAACCCATTCACCTTTTAGATACGTTCATGTATCATATTGTTCAACTAGAGGTGTCAAAATGTGTTGGTTCATCCATTCATCAGAAACTTCGGAAAAAGAGAGGTGTTCAACTAGAGGTGTCAAAATGTGCTACTCGGCCACTACCTGGCAACCAAAGTATGCAAAAGGCTCGTCCCAGCCCGTAACTCATTTGCTTGAACATAAATTTACTTACAAATAATATTTTCAAACTTAACCAAAGATGCTCTCTAGGGTGTCCCACTGTTGAAAAATGAAAACACAAGGTGATAATAATGAACCCCCACGGTGGAGGCTAGTACAGAGACTTGACACCTTTCTCTAAAGGGACATCAATTTCAGTCCCTCCAATTACAGCTTGCCCTACATTCCCTTATCTTTTAGGATAGATAGAATTTCAATGACAAACTCCTATAGGTGCTCCTTCACACTGCCCAATCTTCTGCCGGTTCATGGTACATGGACGCACGTGGGATTTTCGTCTCATACGGTCACTACAAACTCTTGCCTTCATTTCCAACGGGTGAAGGGTAGATATACTTTTAGGATCTTGCTTTTTCCATTCAAACTTTCCCTCCACGTCATTTTATGTAATCCATTAAGTATATTTTTTATGTACAAGTAACAAAATCCATAATTTTATCATCCCACTGGCATCCACCCTCATCTTCCTAAATTCTGAAGCTGAAGTCATCTACGGTTTCTCCTCAAAAACTCATTTCTTAGACCTCGGTATTTCCTTCCATTGGATAGATCTTGCATAATCAATCCTCCTTAGCCCACATATACTTTAATAAACACATACTAGTAATAACAAACACTCAACTCATATTACCACAACAATACACAAATAAACTGGCAACGTTAACCCTGAAACGCATTTTTTCCCCCTTAAAAAAATAAAATAAAATAAAATAAAGTGTATGAAGTATACCAAAGCTGGGAAAGAGGCTGCCGAATCAGATTTCTAGGAACAGAACGAATTCACCTGGAGTTTCCTATTTGATGTGACAAGAAATTGTAATATTATGTATCATAAAAATCTCAAATTGCATGAATGTCTACAGGTAGTGCTGAGAAATGTTATATGTCAGCAGTTTCAAGGAGCTAGAACTGATCAGGATTTATTTATGGCATTCCTCTGATAGAGATACAGCATCGAACCATATCACCACTCAATGAAGAAAATAGGGTATTGGCTGGTTTTTCCAAAGTGAAGAAAATATTACAAAAATCACTGATGAACTGTACAATAAATTTCTTATGCCCAGCAATGGAATGTTAGGAGCATGTTAATTTTTGGCCCTAAACATAAACATGTCTTCAGGATTAAATCCATGACCTGCCTGGAACCTTAAGGCCTGGCAGTGCTTGAGTCATCAATTGGAGTTGCTTTCTTCCCAGAGTAACGCTGAATGGAGAGGGAAATGCTTTTATGATTTTATCATTGAAAGTGGCAAAACGAGATGAATTACCCGCTGTTTGATGCCCATTACTTGAAAATGAAAATGGGGGGAATAGTATTTTTTAGAAAAATGAGTGGTTGAAAAAGAAGGAAAAATTTTCGATTTACGTGCAATATTATTTTATGGAAGATTGTGTGGTTAAAAATAGGAGAGACAAAAATGGAATGTAATGTAATTTAATTTAATGGGGATCAAACAAGGGCTTAATATATTAAATTTAATAATACATACACTTACATACCTGCTTCCCAAAGGTGAAGGGCACATATTTATATTTGATCATATGCATTATCTGCCTCTTCATTGTTGAAATGAATAGCACAAACCAATAGAACAATAGAATTGGCCAGAAAACAGGCACGTCAAATGCACTGAAAAATGTCATCACAAAAGCAAAGCAGAAGCCCTTTGCGAGTGAATGCCTGTCATTAGAAGCAACAAAATCAATCCATCCATTTTCTGGCTAAAGATCAGTATTTTATAGGTATCAAAAACAAAAGAACTGGCCAATAAATTCCAACAGTGTGAGAGATACTAATATATGAAAGTTAAAAGAAAAAGGAAAATGTCGAAGTTGGAGAATTTCCACAGCGAGAAACCGTTGACATAAAGATAAGACTTTAGGACAAGGTCATTTCCCATGATAAAAGGTATCAACTACAATAGAAGATCCAAAGTTAGTCTCACATTGAAAGACAACCAAAAACTCAGTATGTGTTACTCAGCATTGGCTTAACTTCACAAGGTAACAGTGACATCTACATTGAACATTTAGCATTTTGTGTCAGTAGCAACTTCTAAATGATGACTATGTCCATGGAGATTGACACTTCCCAATTCCACAGGGAAATGGAGATAGCCTGTGAACCCAAAACTCCCAAGATAGGAATAGGAACATGGAGAAAAAAATTTCGATTTTCAAATGAATAGAAAACTAAAGCTCTTCTAAATCTAGGAAAGACTGTAATTCTCAAGATTGCATTTTCAAGATACCAAAGTATTTTGAGGAATCACATAAGCTATGTAATACCAGACTCTACAAACCGAACCATCATGTTATTTACGAAAAGGTGATATGTATGAATGTCTACTTCTTTCAACGTGACATTATGCTCTGTCCGGACATTTCAAGTTTTCAAAGATTGAGAAGGTGGAGATTAAGAAAACAGAAGTGCTTCATGTACAGTGAACCAGTACTGAACACTAACAGCATATGATTGGGACGCACTTCGTGTGAGTGTTTGTAGGGATTCTGTGAACTGTAAAACCAGCATTATTCTTAAGAAAATAACATGATACAATATGGTAGAACTCTTTTTATTTTTTTTCATCCATATCATATGCACAGGAAGCACTATGAGATAACGGTTTGTGTGAGCCAAGAACACAATAATGATGAGGCGACACATGTAAACTCTATAGCAGCTTTAAACAAGATCCAGCGGAAATTGCATGAACTTATCTCCTCAACTTGCACCACTATGTAATTGTTCTGTGTCTGCAATCACAATCTTATCGACAGACCAGGTCAGGAATTGTACATAGGGCAGTTGCCAATAAACGGAAAACGAAGCAAAAGAGCCTTATAGGTCAATGACCTGGGCTCTTAATGAAACCCTTAATTATTTGTCCATTTCTCCTCGAACTTTTCTACTTCAGAACTTTTGCGTTCCCCAATTTCCTCAAAAGTATAGCTAACCAGAACTTATGAACTGCCCACATACACACAATAGTCAGGCATATACTCTTACCCTGAGGAGAGAATTGTAGAGTTTTCACCTAGTTTTGGATTAAGCTTGCCTTGAGATATATCCGATATCACATATGATTGGTTGGCATTCTTCCCATTGTATGGTTCACTAGGATCACCTAGACCAGGTCTAGTTATGCAATATTATAAGACAATATTTAGTTTCCAATTCTAATAAGTATTTTAGGAAACAATATTCGATTCTGATTTAATGGCTTTTATTACATTTTTATTTATTAGAATAGAACATTTAAAACCATATATAAAGGGCTTATGCAATGTAATGGAATAAGCTTGACATAATGAAATAATTGATTTCTCCCCCAATTTCTATCTTCCTCTCTCCTCTCTTCTCTCTTTTTTCCTTCATTTCTCCTCCTCTCCCACTTCCCTTTGTCCTACAATTGTTTTATAGTATCCTACGTCAATTTGGTATCAAAGCAAGTGTCTTTCTTTGGCCAAACAACAGTCTCTTCAAAAGCCATAAACCAAACACCACAAAATATACACAAAACCTCCGCCAAAACCTTAAAAAAGCACACGAACAAGGTCTTAGCAGCAACAGTAAAGTTTGTTTTCAGTTTCTTAAGTTCTTGCAGTTTGTTAAATAAAAATGGGGGGAGCTGCAGAAACCGGAACTGTTCACCGGTGAAATAATTAGTTTCATTCCCCAAAAGGAAAAAAGGGAAAAAAAAAAGTCAAGAAATCATTTTGCAGAAAGTTGTTCGACTGGTTGCTGCTGCTGCTTTACACCCTTGACCTATTCATTCTTAGAACAAATTTTATTGCACCGCCCACACACTACATACACCTATATACTAACCCATTTACACCATTTAGCCCAATTACTACCCATTAGCCACACCCAATCAAGTAACCCAGCCAACATTACCAGACAATAGCCCAATAAGCCAAACCTTAAACCCAAGCCCACACTGTCAAAGAAGCCAAATAATATCAAGAAATTTTCTGAAAAAACATGCATTTTACTGTGGTTCACCTATTGTATATATTTGTACAATTTTTTAATTTATAAGGAAACAAAATAAATTACAATCTCCAAAACTCAAAACTGAAAGATAAGTTCCCATTTTATTCCGAATTTATCTACATTATATACGGTAACACACACACCACAGAAAACCAAACCCAACCCATAACCCATCCCAATTACATTAACCTAACATCTACAGCAGCCCAATCCCACAAATTAGGCCTATATCCATCTATCCCAAAGCTAAATCTAACCTTGCCTAATACCCACAAACTATTATAAACAGCCCATACACCGTCTCTGACTTCCCCAATCCCTAACCTAAACTGTCGCCTTCAACGAGCTCCTTCATCCACTGTCGCTGCCTCACGTCGTCTACCACCTCTAACCAATCCATCTTAGCCGACACCCCATAAATCCATTACCTGTGCACTCAGAGAAACCAAAAACCCACCCAGAGTCTTCAGCCGACAGCCACAAATCTGACCCACTGCCACCATCATCATTGTACATCATCGACCGAATCTCACCTTCACATAGCCTGCAATTGTCAACCCACCTGCCAATTTCACTCTCCTCGCAACACACTCATATTTCTCGACCATCTCAGTCTGCTAGCGTCGATTGGGATCAATTCTCGACAACTAGGCCTGTGCGCGGTTTTAGTTTGGGTTGGTTTCGACTTCAACCTGAAACCAAAACAAATTAGTCGATTTTGGTGACTGTCAACCCAACCAACCCACTCTAACTCTGAACCAAACCAAGTCGGTTTGGTTTGGTTGGTTCGGTTAGTTGATTTGAACTTTTAGTCCAAAATTGAATTTTTTGAAAAAAAAAATTATCTAAATTATGGGCTTAATAGATTACAAGAACTAAAATAACTAAGTAACTTTATATTACAAGAATTATTAACTAACAAATAAATCAAGTTACCAGGGACAAATCAGCAAAAAATTTAAGAATTTTGTTGCCTTTTTATACATCATGTAGTCTAACAACCTGAGTAAGATAAAAAGACTAAGTATAACATAATGAGCTTATAAAAGGAAATTTTCATTACTATTATTTGCCAGTAACATCATAGATTGGAGGCAATCGTGATATAGTTAAGAGATCACTGCCTTTTCTTCTTAAAAAAGGTAAATATGTAGATGGATTGGGTTGGTCTGGTTAACCAGCAATTTGAGGCTTTAAACCATGACCGGACCGAACCAAACCAAACCATCATGGTTTTATTTAAAAGAAGACCAAACCAATTACATGTGTCAAATCGACCCGAGTCGGTTCGATTTGATTGATTTGATCGGTTTTTAGGTTTTTTTGCGCAGTCCTATCGACAATACTGCATACACTCCATATCATAATTATCACATACACAACACATCCTTAGGTCTTTATCACGATCATGTATCTTCCTCTTGCACTTATCCTTCGTCTAGGAACTTTGTTAGGGACATGCATTCTCCTAGACAAGTTCCATCCCAACTTTGGGACTTTGATGACCTAACTAAATCCAATTCCTTTCTTGATTGGCTTAACTTTCTTGAAAAATACTCCCGGACAGTTCCCTAAAATACTCATCTATAATTTATTAGTTACTTTTCAAATCACACAGTTGACAATGACTATCTTGTAAGTGAAGGCTATATAACAATAAAAGAGCTTTATAGTAAAATAGCTTGAGAACTTAGTAAAATCCTTATTTAATCGTCTTTGTTTACCTCACAATGTTCTACTCCGTTCAATCACCTTAAATAAATATGATCTTGTGAGTCATTTTCATCTTAAGAGTTCAGCTCGTAACACATTGTCAAAATAGCTAACGAGAAATTATGGACTAAAGAAATAAATGCCACACATGCAAATAACAATTAAATGTATCCTGCTATCCTATAGAGCAAAATTGTTGCATTTTTTTACCTTTTCTTTATGATTAGGTAAAAAAAAGAAATGTGACATGTGGTGAATTCGAATTCCACCTTTTGTATGGTTTACAAGACTCAACTAGACTAGGGATAGGATATAAATTATACATGTGTAGTTGAGAATAAACCAAACAAAGTGTATATGGTTAGTCATGTACACCCTGTTCAAATGATATAATCGATAGCTTGGGGCGCATGGACCATTGACTTGCTCTCACGATTTGAGGGATGACAACTAGAGCACGTTTAGCTAATCTTAAAGGGTGCTTATAAACACCTTTTTTGAGAAGAATTAACACTAATGCTTTTCAGAATAGGTTTTAAATTTAGCCAAACATGCTATAATCTTTCAATAGAATGGATGGATCAAGAAATCTTACAATCACTTTTGATCCATTTTAGTACCATTTCTAATGCATCATCTATAATTTGCCCCCATTTGAGCCCCATTATATAAGAACTCTTTTTTTTTCTAAACTCAAACATTTTTCTAATAAAATAATTTTACACGTAACCCAAAACTTTTTCTACCTTTTAATCACACATTTTTAAAAAAATTACTATTCCAAAATCCATTCTTTCAAAAAATGGGACTCAAACACACCCTCTATGTGATTAATAAGTTAAATCGTATAGTTGTCACTAACTCCATCAAGTGAGTAGAAGAAAATAGAGCAGCAAAAGATCCTCCTTGTAAAATAACTCGGGAACTGAATGGAATCCTTATTTGTCCTCAAAGGCAGAGCCAACGGGATTTGGGAGGGGTCCGGCCTAAAGTTTTTGTAGATTTTATTATTTGATCTTTTACTATTTATAAAAACTAAAAAAATTGTAAAGAAAAAGACTATCTTATGTTCAAGTTCTTATCTAAGAGACAAGTTTTCAAAGCAATTAGTCCCCAACCTTTAGGACCTCTACACAAACTCGTTCCAACCTTTAAAATCAAACTTTTCAAACCTCATCCTTAAGTTCCATTGTAAATTTCGCTCTTTTTACATAATTTCATTAACATTAGCATTACATGGACGAGCTAAAATTTTGATGAGTAAAGTTGGCAAGATATACTTGATACATAACCTAACCTTTCGTATATATACATTCTTATTTATTTTCAAATCCAATAGCTTTATTGTTTACTGTAAACGGTATCACCCTTGGCCACTGTTGGGCCCTCTAAATAAAAAAATCCTAGCTCTGCCACTGTTTATCCATTTCCCTAATACCTCCCACTTCATTCCTCCAATCACCTCAAAATAAATGTTGCCTTGTCAAACGTTTTGATCCTAAGAGTACAGCTAATAATTCATGGTATCATATTAGCTAACCATGAATTGCACCCGCCAACCCCCCAACCCCACACACACAATCGTTAGACAAAAAGCCCTTTACAAGGTAACTTTTATCCTTCCCTATCAATATCCTACACTAAATTAAGCAGTTGAGCTTCTCAGTAAGTACTTAATCCGCATAAAATGTAAGAACACTTAACAACATTTGAAATAGCACAAGATGGCTCTCAACTACATTTATATGCACCAAAAGCCTTCTCAATTTGGAAACATGTCAAAACTGACTTCATGGTGAAGTTCCAGAACACCCAAAGTCACCCATTTTTAATCACACCAGAAAAACTCCAACCATAAGATATCACACAAATAAAATTCCAATGTTGGATATTCAACCTACCAAATTGCACAAATAATACTCCAATACTGCAAATTCGAACTATTAAATATGTATATTAGCCATTTAAAATAGCAATCATTTTTAAGATCCCATTTTAATCTGAAGTACGCATATGCTAATAAACCCTATCCCAATCCAAGTCTAAGCCCCCAAACAATTGATAAAGCAACTACTTTTTCACTGACATATTAAGCCACACCTCGTCCTGGCCAATAAATGTAACTAGTTTTTCCCCTCAGCTCCCTAATTAACACCTTGTCCCTCAAGGCGCTGAACATTCATTCGCATCCACATTGGTTCTTCTAGACTTGTCTGTGACCAATTTCATATATTAAAACCAGATCTCGCTGCATTTTAAGCCCCTGTTTGGTTATTTAAAACTCATCCCCCCCCCCCCCAAAACCATTTTCAACAATCCCCCCCTTT